CGTCCCCCAGCCATCCCAAAAAACCCCGCACCGCTCCGGGCAGTGTGGCACGGCCAGTGGTGCCAACAGGTGCCGAGGAGCCTCCGCACCCCCGCAGAGCCGCTCTGCGCCCTCCAGAGCCCCGTCCCCATTCCCCGGGGCTCCCACCCATCCCATCCCGTACCTGTCGGAGGGCTGTGTCGGCCAGCGCCCGCTTCCCGCCCCGGGGGCAGTTCTGGATGTAGCAGGCGGAGCTCAAGGCGAGGAGGCAGAGGAAGGAGAGGGGCAGCGAAGGCTCTGGCATGGTGGAGGGTGCCCGGGGCTGTGCCACGCGTGCCAGGGGGAGCCGCTCGCGCTGTGTCTGGCCCCGTGCTGGGAGAGCTCCTTTTATGCTGCCGTCGCCCCTTCCCAGGGGAGGAGGAGGAAGAAAAGGGATGGGTTGTGGTTGGGTTTTTTTGTTGTTGTTGTTGTGTTTTTCTCTCTTTTTTTTTTTTTTTTTTTTTTTTTTCCCCAAATCGCATCCAAGCGAATCTGTAATTGAGATGATTCAGTGCAGCAGCTCTCGGGGCTGGTGAATCCCACCCGTTGTTGCCTCGAGGGGCACGGGCCAGCCCTGGGATGGCCACTGGCCCTGGGATGGGCAGTGCTCGGGAAGGGGACCTGGGTGAGGGGGTGCAGGTTTAGGGAGAGATGCTCCTTCAGGAGATGCCTGTTTGGGGAGGGAGGCAGGTCTGGAAGGTGCTGCCTGGGGAGGGGTGTTGGTTTGGGAACAGATGTTCATTCGGGAGATGTGGGTTTGGGAAGGATGCAGATTTTAGGAGAGATACTGGTTTGGGAGTGATGGTGGTTTGAAGGGATGCAGATTTTGGGGGGGATGGTGGTTTCAGAGGGATGCTGGTTTGGGATTGATGCAGATTTTGGGAAGGGTGCTGGTTTCAGAGGGATGCTGGCCTGGGAGAAATGCTGGTTTGGGAAGGGATGAAGGTTTGGCAGGGATAGCGGTCTGGGAGTGATGCTGGATTGGGGAGGGGTTAGAGTCTGGAAGGTGCTGATTTATGGGGAGGTTTTTTTTTTGGAGGATGCTGTTTTGGGGAGGGATGCTGGTTTGAGGAGGGATGCTGCTTTGGAGGATGCTTTGTTTGGGAGGGATGCTGCTTTGGAAGATGCTGCTTGACTGATGCCGCTCTGAGAGGAGATGCTGAGGGAAGAAATGATGTCAGGGCTGAGATAGAACCCCGGGGTGCACAAATACACCCCAAAAACCAGGGGCTGGGCTGCAGCACTGGGGTGCAGGGCAGGACCCTGCCAGAGCCAAGGGAGCCATCAGTGCCACCCACGGCTCACCCTCCTCTTCCACCTCTTCTCCAAGAGATAAGGCAGGGAAGCCAGCGCTGTGGGAAATATCTGTACAGGGAAAACAGCAGCAACAACCCCCCCCTCCCCTCATCATCCAGCCATGAATACTCCTGCTGGTCCCAGATCCCTTTCACAGCATCGCTGAGGGTGAAATTCAGCAACATGAATTAATATGCAGAGGGGAACGGGGCACCTACGAGCACCCACCTCCTCCTTCCCCTCCCAAAAAATGCTGGGCTTGGCTCATGATGATCAGGAGGGGCTTTTTTGGAGGTGCTGGGAGGGAGGGTGGGCAATGAGGGGTTGCTGCCAGCTCTGGTCCAGCCTCTGGGGTGGTTTTGTGCCCTGAGCTCAAAGGCAGGGAACCGAGGCAGAGAACTGTCAAAATCTGCCTGGAGGTCACTTGGGGTGGCTGAATGTGGGTTTTTCCCCCCTCTCATTAATGTCCCCCATTTTCTCCCCTTGTTTACATTCTTTTTCTGCTGGATCAACGCCCTGGAGCAGCTGAGCCCTGGCTGGAGCAAGGAGGACCCTGGGTGGGGAAGGGGCTGCTCTGCTCCAGCATCCCGAAGGAAACTGTGACCCTGCTGTCACCTGGAAAACCAAAACACTTTAAAAAGCTCCGTAGGAACCAGAGAGGGGTCCTGGAAGCAGCTGGAGCGTGGCTTTGCCCCCTAGGGGAAACTGAGGCACACGGGGGGGAATCCTTTTATTTGGCAGCGCTGAGGGGGCCCAGCCTGCTCCCAGCTCCTGTGGGTTTGGAGCGTGGATCAACCCGGGGGGGGGCTGGCCGTGCTGGTTTTTGGGGCTCTTTGCTGGGTAACACGAGGGTGATCTCCCCCCTCCTCAAGGGGCATGAAGGGCAGTGCAGCCCCTGACTCAGTCCTCCCCGGGACCGAGGGAGCGGCGAGTTCCCAAATCTGCCCCGTGACGCCGAACCACCCACGTGGCGCGGCCGTGGGGGAGATTTAATGACCGGCGTTATTATAACAAACACCAGCCACGCTCCCCCATCCAAATCCATCCCTTCACAGCGGGAGCCCAGACCCGCTTACGTTGCAGGGCCGAGGAGGACGCAAAAGCCCTCGGCTGGGAAAACTTTTCTTTAAAAGAACCCCAAATGTCAGCTCTAAATTGGGTGTTCCGCGCTCCTGCTCCGTCTCTTCATTACTGTATCGTAAAATTACATTAAGCCGGGAATGATCTGCATCCAAATGACTCTGTGTCTGGAATGATAACGCGGGAATATGAGATTAAAATGTAATTATGCTCTTTAAAGTCAAGGAAGGTTAATAAAATGTTTTTCCAAGTTGCAGAAGGCTCCGCAGCCGCCACGCGGAATCACTTACGGGAATCAAGGGGAGGGCGAGGCGGGAACGGGGAGGAAAAAAATGGGGTGGGAAACATGAAAATGGGGGTTTGTTGGGGGGAAATATTGGGGTCACTTGAGGTGAGTCATGGGACAAGCGATCAGAGGGGTGGGCAGAGCCAGCTGGGAACACCCTTGCTGGGCTCTGATGTTCCCTGGTAGCTGGGATGATGCTGGGCCCACATCCCACATCCTGCTCCCAATCGACACTTTGGGGCTCAGCAAAGTTTTGCCCCGAATCCCCCAGGCCCCAAAGCAGCCCCATGGTCCCTTCTTGTGTGTCTCCAGCCCTGCATTTGCTCTGCCACGTCCCTGCTCCTCCCCAGGCTCTTCCCAGGGCCCCAGAGGATCCCCCTTCATGAGCGCTGATCTCCTCACGACGCGTGCCGTGGCATTCATCAGCACAGTTAGCAGGTGCCATCCTTTTCCCAGATCCCCTTGGGAGTGAGGGGAGCCCCAGAGGCCTGACATGGGATGGGGAGGGAGCAGCACCCTCAAATCCACCCCCCTGCTCAGCCAAAATACGGCCCCAGCTCTTGTAGAGATCAGCGGAGGGGCTGGGGCTGCCGGAGGGGCTCAGCCACGGAGCTGATGGAATCAGGAAGGTTGGAAAAGCTCTCCAAGATCATCGGGGCCAACTGCTCCCCCAGCACTGGGCAAGGTCACCACTAACCCCTGTCCCTCAAATGCCACATCCACAAATCCCTCCAGGAATGGGGACTCCCACACTGGGCATCCTGTTCTTATGCCTGACCACCCTTTCCATGAAGCAATTTTCCCTAATATCCCATCTAAACCTCCCCCATCCATCATTAACAGTGGGAGCTTCCTTAGCTCTGAAGACTCCCAACAAAGTTTGTGTGAGCCCCTCCAGAGGCTGGAGAGGGGATGGAGGTCACGGTGTGTGGCTGCAGCACGTGGAGCTCCCAGTGCCAAAGTTTAACCAGGATAAATTAGAGTGACAGCATTTAATCAGGATAAATCAGAGATTGGTGAGAAAAGGGATGAGTTTCACCAGTTTGTGAATTTTCCTGCCTTTGCCATGGATGCAGCAGGGAAGGAGGAACTACGTGAACACATCACTGATGCACAGGTGAGGTTGGCAAGGGAGAGCTCCCTTCTCCTGCCTGGGGGGACTGATGATCCTCAAATGGATCTGTCACAAACATTTCACTGTCAGCCCGCGGCTCAGGGGGGTTTAATGGCTGGGGGCTGGTGGAGAGGGGGGTCCTGCAGCTCCTGCCTTTTTCAGGTTCAAGGGAAAAGATGCTCCTGTGCTCCTCTGCTCCCAGGACAGCGGGAAAACAGCTTTGATGCTCTTTTAAAGGAAGTCAACCTTGGCTGGGGCACTGCTTTGCTGCCCTTTCCATCCAGATCCATCCCACTGGGATATGGATGCCACATGACAAGGTCACTGACCAACAAGAGATGGATTTATTCAGAAAATGCTCTGAGACCATTAGAGGAAATTGCTCAGGCCTCAATCGAAGGCCATTCCCCTCCTCCTGGGGAGAGGACAAGGCTTGGTGCCAGGAATAAATTTGCTGGTGGTGTCTGTATGGGAGCTGAAGGGGGATTGCTGTGGGTCCTGGCACAGGAACCCATGGGAATTCCTGGCTCTGTGTCACCCACCACCCAGACCATCGCCTTGGGGTGCAGAGAAGGGCCCCTGCTGCCCACGGGGGTTTCAGTGCCCCGGGGTCAGAGGGACTCACACCCAACTGGGACACCTTCATCGAGCTCCAAGATGTGGGCACAGAGGGAAAATCACCCCTGGATCCTCAGCAAGAAGGGACACAGCAGGTTAAATGTGCTGCAGAGGGTCCTACAGGGTTAAAGAGGAGGAGAAACTGGGGGGATGAAGGCTCTGAGAAACCTGATGCAAGGTGGAAATGAGCCCTTCTCTGAGAAGGGGAGGGACCCGATGTCCCAACACCACCCTGTCCCCTCCAACCTCTGCTCCCTGCTCGCTCCCTCTCCCTCCCTCCCCTCCAGAACGAAGGGAACCTGTAGATAACTCAGTGGATGGTTCCTGCCTGGATATCACAAGGATATCACAAGGAACTTCTGGGCAGCGGAGATCCTTTGTCCGAGCCGGTGGCTTGGGGTTTTGTTGGGAGCATCCAGAGGCTTTGTCAGCGCCGCAGAAGGCGACAGCTGTGCGGGTTGTGAGCTCCTGCAGCAGCCACCCTCCTCCCTTCCCCGCAGATCCGTGCGGAGGGGGAGGTGTGAGAGCTGAATCACCCCTCAGTGGCTCGCTGCAAACACGACAACAACCACTGCATCAAGTGGATTTCTGCTGCCTCTGAACTGTGGGATTTTTAGGAAGTTTCTGCCTGTTTCTCTTAAGAGTTTCTGATTTAAAGATGCGGGATTTTTTTTTTTATTTTTGCTCCGAGTGCAGACAGGCCATAAACTCCTTCTGACGCAGACAGGGAGCAGGATCCATGGGGTGCCAGGACAGTTCCAGTGGATGAGCAGCTCCTTCCCGTGTCAGGAACACCACGAGCTGTTGAGGTGCTTTTTGAGAGCGACTAAAGGTGTGACAAAGATGAGTTGAGTCAGCTGGAGGATCTTTATGGCCCAGAACATCAGCCAGAACGCAGAAATTACCAATTAAATGCCGACA